CTTTAACATCTCCATTGACTCTTGGGCTTCCACGAAGGTGCTCTCATCTGTGGGTAAATGTCTAAGTCAGTGTTCTTCAGAGTTCAGTGTTCTTCAGAGACTCCCAGTAGTGACCCACATGGCTGGAGCTGCTTCATGAGCCATTTTGTGGTCCACAGCTGGGATTGAGTTCTTTATGTCTATCACCCAACACACAGTAGGTGTGACTTTTCATGAGTTGCTTGACATATTGTGCTAACAACAGAACCAGTGACAAGTGAGGCTGTAGATGAGTTCTCAGGTAAACAGAGCTGTTTTTAGGTTCATTGAGTCAGTCGCCTTAGTAAAAGTCTGTTTTCTTAAAATGGCTGTTTTCATTCTTGAATAGCATCAGGATTTCATAGTCTCCTACCTGGATCCCACAGCTCCCACAAAGGTGCAAATATGGATGGATGCCAAATTAGTGTTATTGAGGAGGAATACGTTCAAAGGACATCTTATTTGGCCATCTTGTTGATGTCACTCTCCCTTAATTTTTCATTTCTGAAATAACAGATTACCACAAATTTAATGGCTTAAAACAGAGCATTCAAAATTCAACAGTTTCTGTGAGTAAAAAGCATGGATTTGGCTTAGCTTGGTCCTCTGTTTAAGCTCTCATAAGACTGCAGTTGGGGCATTGGCTGAACTTCATTCTCATTTGGAGGCTTGCCTAAGGAAGAATCTACTTCTATACTCATTAGGTTGTTCACAGAGTTTATTATTTGTAGCTGTAGAGCTAATGGTAGTTCACTTCTTCAAGACCAGAAGGAGAATCTCTTTTCATGAAAGTCCCAGTCCTTCTTTAAAGGGTTTTCACCTGACTGAACCAGGTCCAATGATAATTTCTCTTTGGATTAGCTTGAAATCAACAGATCTCAAAATCCATTCACCTTTGCTCTATAAAGTAACCTGATCAAAGAAATTACAGTTTACATTCTATCGGTTAAAACAAAATCACAGGTTCTCACACTCAAGATGAGAGAATTGTACCAGTGTGTTATTAATATAGGGTCATTTTATGGTGCATCTCCCAGTTTTAATAATTAAGATAATGTGGTAATTGTGCTGGAATTGACATGTAAAACAGATCCATACATATATGGGTATGTGAATAAAATAGATCCATACTTATATGGCATTGTGGATGACTGAGGGTGACAATGAATGATGCTGTGACAGCCAATCTTGGACTTTAAGAAATTTAATTTGAAGAAGAATCAACTACATATAAAAATAAAAACAAAACTTATAGACAAAAACAATATAATACCTTTGTGATCTCTGGATAAGAAACAGATTCTCAACAGCACTAACAATAACATAAAAGTTTGATAGATTTAATTCCTTAAAATGAAGAATTTAATTCATGAACACATGTCATAAACAAAAGAAAAAGATAAGTCTTCCAAGGCAAAACTTTTTTTTTTTTTTCTTAATTGAATATTGCTTTCTAATAACCAGGTCTTGGCCGGCTTTTGAAGGGTACTAACTTAGGATATTTTGAAAGGAGACCAAGGAGATACCTGTGTGAAGGAGTGAGAAGACATGACCATCAGAAGGGGAGCAAATCTGGAGAAATAGCAATGATGTTTAAGAGAGATTCAATGATGATTCACAGACCTGTACCCCTGGGGCAAGTAATACGTTATAGATTAATAAAAAATAATTTAAAAATGAGAAATTAAAAGGAAGTTTTTGGTGCATAAGGTGTAATTAATAAACAAGGTTATCGATAGCATGGAGTAAATAATTATTTATAATCATTCTTTCTGGAAAAAAAATGCTGGAGTACAGAAGATGTGGCTGGCTAGTCTTTAGCTTTGAGAGAACTCTGAATCTTACTAATCTTTGTACTCCCAACTTCATGAAACACAGTATTAGCTTAATAAATTTGTATTTCATAAATATGTGCCATTGTGCTAAAAAGTAGTACTACACATGCTCTTCCAAAAAGCTTACATTGGCTCAGGAAACACACACATACACACACACAAATGAACAATTGGCAAAGAGCGACTTGTTCTTATAGTTCCACTAAGCCCAAGGTCATTTTTTTTTTTTTACTTTGATGGATCAAAGAGAAGCTTTTCAATCCCTCCCCAATTTTTTCTTTTCCATTTTCCCCCAGGGAAGTGGGCATCAGGCACATTCCAGGGTGGACTCTGGAGAACCTCTGTGGATTCTAGATCCCTATTATCTGGCCCAAAAAACTATGTCCCTTTGGTTTGGAAAGAACTTATAACAGAAAATGAAAACCATTCTGGTCCAATTCATGAACTGCATTAGGAAAGCTGCACATGGATAAGAGTGCATGGCTTAAACATAACATAGAGGGGGAATAATCCTCCAAGGAATACAAAGCAGGAGCTGAGACTTCACACCCAAGTTGGAGCAGACTGGGTCCATGGGGGTGTGTGAGTGTCTGAGTGTGTGAATGTATGTGTGTGCGTATATATACCCTTACAGAAGGGGAGCAGATAGAAATAACTACATTATTTTTCAGTCAAGAGCCCTAAACCTAATGGCAGATATAACTTGGGCATATACTTGGTCTGTCTGAAGAACTTTCATGTTTAGAGATAAAGGGAAGAACTTTTGCATCCTCTGAGGGTTTTTATCTCCTCTCCTCAGGCCTACACAAACAAATTATGCATATACAGAAACATGTGATGCGTCTGGAAATTAGAACCCCATGGCCTCTTCCTTCCAATTTAGGATGAGAGGCACATTGACTATGTGTTGTTCTTATGTGGGGCAATGGTCTAGAACCCACGACTCCTCCCTCTCTGGAACTGCTTCTTGTAGTGTGTCCCAAAACCTCACCAAGAACTAACTGAGTTATAGTATCAGGCCCCAGAATGTGACCCTGACAGTCCATCTGTCTTTCATACTTGATAATGGGACATTCAACAGATCTCTGGGTTAGCAAAGATGTATGCTGAGCACAGGTATAGTGTCCACTCACTTCTGGTTGGGGAGAAGCAGATAGATTTACTAAAATGAATTGTGTGTCTGCTCTGAAATTGTCCCTTCTATCTTTCTCAGAAAACTACAGTGGTAGCTGAAGAAATTATTCAACTCTGGATATTCCATCGAGGCTGCGTTCATAATTGATTTATTATGTTTTATCTTTCTATGTTTGTTTTCTGCTTGGCTTTTAATTGAATTTTTTGTAAAAATTAATAGACATTTAAGTATCACACATAATTCAATAATATTTCCCCAGGAAATGATGTAACTTGGCATTCATATTAGAAAAATATCTTTGAGTCTTTTGATTGCTTCAGGTTAATCATTTTTATTTCTTTGCAGTGAAATGTTAATTTGCTTTGAATTTTAAGTGTTTCTTGGAAAATGATCTCAGTATTGATGTTTCTATCAACCATCCTGAATACTGCTACAAGAGAACACCACAAAAAACTCTAATAATTAAAAGCCAGTTTTCATATGGACTCAATAGAGTCTCCTTGTCAATCTTCTTAAGTAAAGACAGGACTTTCATTATCATCTTTTCATTAAACAAACACTAATCAATTGCTTATCACTAAATAACACTGGTAAACAAGAGAGAGATATTCTATAACCCAACCATTTTATTGGTCTGAAAAATATATTAGCAATTATAGGAATGAATTAATAAGAGTTGTTGAGAGGGGCATAGTGAGGACTTCTTGGTAAACTAAATGATTTCTAAGCTGAGATTCAAAATGAATGGAACTACTGGGATGCAGGGGGAAAGAAAAGAGCACCTAGGCAGATAAAAAGAGATTTATTGGCCCAGGGGGAAAGGTCTTGGTATATCTGAGGACCTGGGGAGACTCTGATGTCCAGAGTGCAAAGACTTCCTTTACAAGGGGCACAGGGCATTGCATGCAGAATGGGCGAAGGGCATTGCATGCAGAATGATATAGACCATACTAAATTCATGACAATTATACAAGAGTAGCAAGATGTTGGGAAGGATTATAAGGAGAGATATGTTGGATATTTGTGTTTTAGAATGATCTTTTGGATGATAGGACATAGAATTGTCTGGAGTGGGAAAGGGTTAGTTGTTAGGAGACAGATGGGAGCTATAATAGAATCTGGCACTTGTGGGGAAAGGAATTGAGAACAATGCAGGAAATGAGGAAGGGAAAAGGAGGAGTCACGGGTAGCTTCTGTATTTCTGCCTTGCCTAGTGAGAAGGACTTGACTTTGGTGAGAGAAGAGCAGGCATTGGTGTGGGGGAAGATGACAGTTCAGATCTGGACATGGTAATTTCAGGTGCCAAAATGCTGAATCCACAATGATGAAGAGTGAAGGTCAAGTGGAGGTGGGGGACAAACGTGTACTCAACAGGATGATGTCAACTTTTATGGTGTGGCTTTGTTTTAGTGGGAGGAAGCAGAATGTCATAAAATGATTTCTTGTGTTTGTTTTCTGGGTTGGCACAGTGTAACTGCTGGAGTCATGAAAGGATGAGATCAACATAAAAATATCAAATAAAACATAAAATACAAGGTTGATATGCTAAAATAATGCTATAAAATAGAAATATAAGATTGTTACATAAATTTATGTATGAAAGTTTATGTTTAGCTCTGTTACTATTAAAAAAACAAAATGACTATGGATCTGCTTGAGGGTAGATTATGTTTCCCTTTATTTTAAACATGAAACATATAGATGGACTCAAGCAATAATAGCTCATTGAGAAATGGTCTATCACAGAATAGATGTGCATGTCTGTCTCCTCTATCAATTAATATGTTTGTTTGTCTTTTTCCAGTGACCAGTAAAATGTCTTGCACAGCCATGGACAAAATAAATTTTATAAAAATTAAGTTTAAGAACACCAGCATTTTGACCTTTTTTCACAATTTGATCTTATTTTAGTTGTATATTTTTATTCAAGTCATACATTTAACAAAATTATTTCCCTGAAATATTTTTTAATCAAAGAAAGTTGTTTTACTTTTGATAATATTTTATTACAGGTGATTATGTTGTCATGACCATATATTTTGAGTTGAGTAGAAGAATGGGATACTTCACTATTCAAACATACATTCCCTGTATATTGACTGTGGTTTTATCCTGGGTGTCATTTTGGATAAAAAAAGACGCTACACCAGCAAGAACAGCATTAGGTGAGTTTCAAAAACAAAAGCAAAAACAAGTGTCGCCCGTCATTTTGTATAATACTGATACAGAAGTATTCATAAAAATTCTTCCAGTGTAAGAGATTTAGTCCAAATGTAATTGATCTAATTTGAAGGCTATTTAAACTGTGCATAGATTGTTTCAAGTAGTCAAGTTAGACTCTTTCTGACAATAGAGTTCCAAGTGTGCCACTTAAAATAAGCTGGGTTAGAGATTAAGAACAAATCAATTGCATCATCTGATACTATGCTCTAAGGATGAAGTCATCATAAAAATATAGTCACATCCTGGGAATCTGCCACACTGAGAAGTCTCATTACATTAGTGTAGAGGGACACAGCTTTTCATACACTTTTCAGGACTAAAGACATAATATCAGTAAAATAGTCTTTCAGTAACAAAAGTTCTGATTGCCTATAGCAACTTTACCATCAAAAAAGAAAGTGATCATTCTTTTCAGCTACAATCTACACACTAAAGCTCAAAGTCTTTTCATGAATTATCCTCTGATGCCCAAAGTCCTCCTAATAAAACACTAAATTCCAGGGGTTTTAGAATTATGTAACATTTTTATACCAATCTTTCTTTATGATAGGAGTATTACTTAACTTTCAATATTTTTATGTTTGAAAACAGATAATGTGTAAGAGTGATATAAAAGTTGTTTTTGCTTAAACATGTTTTTCAGAAAAGAGGGCATTCTCTCAATTTTAAAATCTTTGCAAAGTGTCTCATATTTTTTCCCTGTATTTGTTACTTTATTCTTTGTTTGTTCAACCAACATAGTACTTTTTGAGCAAGATAAACTAGCCTGTAATACCTCCACCAGTGTTAGTTTTGCATGCTTATAGAAAATACATAATAGAATTGATAAAGAATTCAGCAAAGTCACAACATAAATTTAGTAACTATTTTTGAGGTTATGAACTCACAATTGGTCAGGTGCCATAGCAAGCATGACTTGAAAAATCAGCTTGCAAACAATATAATATGTAGTAAGGGTTGCACAATGTGAAGCTATGAAAGTCCTGTCAAAGAGTCACCATGGTGGCATTAAGGAGATAGAGATACTAGAAATACATAATGCTGGAAGATAATGGATTTACAGTCCAGAAGAGTAGAGAAAAGTCATTAACATCAGAATATTTGGTTAAGACACTAGAAAAGGCTATGCCTGAGACTGAAAGGGTACTCTAGAACCCCTCTAAATAAAGCTTAAACCAAACCATAACAAGATCAAGGAGAACCATCAGTAGATTAACTGCCATAAGAAAGCATTTAATGTGGCTTTAAAAAGGATGATACATTTCATAATCTTTGTATCATCCACAATATTGAGTATGCAATAAAAATTATTCGGTATTCTTAGAAGCAGGAAAATGTGACCCATGATAAAGACAAAAAATAGTCAATATAAAAAGAAAAAGCTGGTGTTGAATCAGCAGACATGAGTTTAAAGCAACTTATTATAACAATGGTAAAGTTCTTACAGGAAAATATAATGTCAAAGAATGAACAGATAGATAATCACAGCAGGAAAAGTATATTAAAAAGTAAACTCTAGAATGAAATGTATAATAATTAAATTGAAAAATTCACTAACTGAGCTTACTCGTAGCCTGAAGATGGCAGAAAAAAAGATCATGCATAATTGAAGACCATCATATTAAATTTATCTAATCTGAAGAAGAGAGGGATGAAAAGATTTTAAAAGATGTACAAAACCTTAATGATCATTAAATGGACAATATGAAGAAGTATAACTATAACTTGGGTTCTAAAATGAGAAGAGAAAATGAATAAGATATATATTTTTTTAAATAAATGAGGTTAAACCCAGACATTGCCAAATGTTGTCCATGATCCTCACTCCACATTGAGTCTCGCTACATTGTGAGGTAGATATAGATGGGTAACAGACGTGCATCACATTGGATTTGCTTTTACTATGTAATGGGGATAATAATAACATGAGCATTGGAGAGGAGGAGCAAGATGGTAGAGGATTAGGAGACCTAAATTTCATCTGGTCCCAGGAATTCAGCTAGATAGTTATCACACCATTCTGAACATCTACAAGCTAAACAGGAGATCAAAGAGAAGAATAGCAACAATTCTAGGAACAGAAAAGCTAACACTTTCTGGAATGTAGGACATGCAAAGAGGTGAGTCTGAGGTGATATACAAGAAGATAGGCCACAGGGGGAGGGGCTGGATCCCAGAAAATAGTAGAGCATCAGAGCATAAAATTGGAACTTTTAGAAGTCTGCTCCATGGAGGGACATCACTCCAGAGGCTAAGTGGGGGCTGGAGCCCTCACTGGGATGTGTGTGGTCTCAGGACCCACAGGGTCACAGAAAGACCAGAGATGCCTGAGTGTGGCATAGCTCCCAGGTATTGGAGCAGGGAAGCCAGCTGCAGTGATGGAGCCAAGGAGGAGGCTCTCAGCTCAGGATTACCTTAAACTGTTATCTGAGGCACTGTCAGGCCACTACTCTTCAAGAAGGGAATCCACAACTGGCAGATCCGGGGAGACCTCCCCTTCCTCCCCAAGGAAGAGTGGTACAAGAGCATGCCACAGGAATCTGCTGGGTTTGGAGACTCCAAATGGGCCTGGCCATGTGCCAGAGATAGGAAGGCTCAGTCACAGTCTGGGTGAACTTGGAGTATGGCTGGAAACCAGGGGAACAGGAGGGTTTGATTGCTTTTCTCTGAGGGCTCACTGAAGTGGGGGGGGGGGGGCAAGCTCTCAGCTCCTCCAGGCTGGAGATTGGGAGGCCACCATCTTCATTCCTGCCCTCCATAGCTGTACAGAAAGGGTTCAGAGAACAAAAGTTACTGAGAGCAAAACTGAGCAAATTTCTGAACCTGGCCCCTGTCAAGGGTGGTGCAATTCTGCCTTGGGCAAAGACATTTGAGAATCACTACAAATCCCCCAGAAGATCAGCAAGAACATCCAGCCAAGATCAAGTTTACTGATCAATGAGAATTGCAAAACTCCAGATCTAGGGGAATATAGCACATTAGAATTCATTGCTTCCCCTCCCACCATGATTCTTTAATTTTTCGAAGTTAAATTTTTTAAATTTTATTTTTTCTTATTCTATTTTTTTTATTTTACCTCTTTCCTGTTTTAACATATTTTAACTATTTCATCTTATCAATACCTTTTAAAAATCTTTTTTTAATTTTCATTTTTTATAGTCATATTCTATCCCTTCATTGTATTTAACCTTATTTTTTGTATACATATAAGCTTTCCTTTCTTTAAAATTTGGGATACAGTTTCTTCTAACAGACCAAATATACCCTAAGTCTAGCATATGACTTTGTTCTAGTCTCAGCCTGATCATGTTCCCTTCTTTTTCTTTCTTTTTTTCAACCAACTTCTTATTTGCCAATTCCTTTTTAAAAATCTTTTTTAATTCTCATCCTTGAAGTCATCCCATCCCTTAATCATGTTTACTCTTGCATATATATATATGTGTGTGTAAGTTTTTCTTTCTTTAAAATTTTGGGAGGCAGTTTCCTCTAATAGACCAAAATACAGCCAAAATCAAGTGTGTGGCTCTGTTCTATTTATCAGCCTAACCATATATTTTATTCTTCTTTCTTCTCCCCCTGATTTTGAGTCTCTTCTGATTTGGTTATTGCATGTTTTTCTGGTGTTGTTACTCTTTTAGCATTTTGTTCTCTCACCTGTCTATTCTTCTCTGGACAAAATGGAAAGGTGGAAAAACTCACCTCAAAAAAAAAAAAAAAAAAAAAAAAAAAGAACAAGAGGTAGTACCAGCTGCTGGGGACCTAATCAATATGGACATTAGTAAGATGTCAGAACTAGAGTTCAGAATGAAAATTATAAAGATGCTAACTGGCCTTAAAAAAAAACACATAAGATAATAGACTATCCCTTTCTGGAGAAGTAAAATCTCTTTCTGGAGAAATAAAGAACTTAAATCTAACCAACTTGAAATTTAAAAAAAGGTATTAAAAAGGTGCAATCAAAAGTGGAGGGTCTTACTGCTAGGACAAATGAGGCAAAAGAGAGAATTAGTGATATAGAAGACCAAATGGTGGAGAATAAAGAAGCTGAGAAAAAGAGAGATCAACAACTACTGGATCACAAGGGGAGAATTCAAGAGATAAGTGATAACATAAGACAAAACAATGTTAGAATAATTAGGATCCCAGAAGAAGAAGAGAGAGAGGGGCAGAAGGTATATTGGAACAAATTATAGCAAAGAACTTCTCTAATTTGGGGCAGGAAACAGGCATCCAAATCCAGGACGCACAGAGAATCACCTCCAAAATCAATAAAAATAAGTCAACATCCTGTTATCTAATAATAAAACTTACAAGTCTTGGAGACAAAGAGAAAATCCTGAAAGCAGCTTGGGACAGGAGGTCTGTAACCTATAATTGTAGAAATATTACATTGGCAGCAGACCTATCCAGAGACCTGGCAGGCTAGAAAAGACAGGCCTGATATATTCAGAGCACTAAATGAGAAAAATATGAAGCCAATAATACTATATCCAGCTAGCTGTCATTGAAAATAGAAGGAGAAATAAAAAGTTTCCAGGACAAACAAAAACTAAAAGAATTTGCAAATATCAAGCCAGCCCTACAGGAAATATTTTCCTCTAATCAAAGAGAGTACATAAAAGAAACGACCAGAGGGGAACAGAGAAAATATACAGTAAGAGTCAACTTAAAGATAATATAATGGCACTAAATTCATACCTTTCAATAGTTACCCTGAATGTAAATGGGCTAAATGCCCCAATCAAAAGACACAGGGTATCAGAATGGAGAAGAAGAAGAAGAAGAAGAAGAAGAAGGAGGAGGAGGAGGAGGAGGAGGGGGAGACCCATTGATATGCTGTCTGCAAGAAACTCATTTTAGAACAAAGACACCTCCAGATTTATAGTGAGGGGATGGAAAACAATTTACCATGCTAATGGACATCAAAAGAAAGCTGGGGTGG